TTTTAGTTATAACTAAATTTGTGCAACTAATATTGAAAATTTAAAATTCAAATAAAATAAAATATATTTTTCTTAAAAAAATATTCTTTAAACTTTTATATTATTTTAAATAATTATTTTATAATAGAAATCAATTGTAAATCACATATTACTAAGCATCAAATTTAAGTGAAGGTTAACATTTATTATTATATTATATAGAATCAAAGTTGACATAAAATATATTAATAACACATCTAATGTTATAATTCGGTTCTTAATTTCGGTTCTTCGGTTCGGTACAGTACGAGACGGTTCGATTCGGTTCTCGGTACGGATATTTGTGAAATCTCCAGAATCGTACCAATTATTTTTTCGGTTCAGTTCGGTTCGGAGAAAGTCAAACGGTCAACGGTTATTTTTCGGTTCGGATTGATTTCGGTTCAGTTTTCGGAACGGTTCGAAATTCTTCGAGTCCCATGCTCAACCCTAAATTTCCATGCACCGACTCCACACTAGAGACTAGACCTAAATATAGAATAAAAAAGAAACTAAGAAGGTAAGAGACTAAGGAAGTGCCTAATGATTTATTTGATTATTACAAATAATCGTAAATCTGTTCTGTCCCTTAATAATATTGAACTTGATTCATGTTTGAAATTCGTGCAATTTTTTGTTTTCAATTTTAGTCATGGAGTTGAAATTGGATCCAGCATATGTCAATTTGAGGCATAGTGAATTGAATTGGGCCATTTCCGCCAATGTCACCTTCTCCCCCAAACCCAAAAAATCCCTCTGGAACCAAAGTTCAAATTCGTATGTTTTGCTGCCCCTCCTTCACCAGAAACCTACAACCACGTCGTCGGGGTCGGCTTCCATCGAGTCGGGGCTGGTGGACCTCCTTCCCGTTGTTTCCATGGGGTCATGGGTGTATGGCTTGGATTGGTGCCTGCAGATCCGCCATCTCCCTCGCCACGGAAAGATCGTCAATCGTTTGGGTCAGGTCCCAGCCCCTGGAGTCCATCGGGTTGTTGGTGCGTCGGGGTTCGGGTTCTCATTGTGTGGTGTTCAAGGGTGCGGCTCGGTTGTGCGATTGAGCTATTTTCGAGCTCTCCGGCGTGATTTTCTACGGCTTACGGGCAGCTCCCCTTCTCCCCTTACGTGGATGGTTTTTCGGAGTCCAGATCTAAATTGAGAGCAGACTTTTCATCAAGTCCGACTAGGCGGCACGAGTGGCGCAATTTTCGGGCTTGAAGTTTTGGTTTGCGGCTTTGTTGGATCTCTATGCTAGTGGTAGTGGCTCGTGTGCGGTCTCAGGCGGCCGAGAGTTAGGTCTATTAGGTGTAGGAGAGGTCCTAATTTATTTGTAAATTAAGTGTTTTTTTTTCTTTCTTTCTGATTTTCGTTTATTAGGTGTGAATTGTTTTTTCTTTCTTTCTTTATTTGTGTTTTTATTTCGTTAAATCCAACTGTGTCTGGCATCCATTCTCTATAATGGAGTTTTAGTCTCCTGTGTGGAGTTGGATTTTTGTGTGTGATTATCTTCTCAATGGAGTTTGTACCTCTTGGACACATGTATTTGTTCAAGGGGTAGATTTAGGTTTTCTAGTTCCAGTTGTGTCCATTGACACTTATTGTTTACTCTTTTTTGAGTTTTTCAGTTTTAATATAATTCTTGTTTAAAAAAAAAAAAAAAATTTGAATTGGGCCAATTATATTACTGTATTCGCGATTTTTAATTCAATGGGTGTTGAAAATCAAATTCATCCAACAATCTGTGTGGGCCATAAAGATTTAAAAAAGTACATAATAATCATTGTGTTTAACCTGTAGTTTACTATTCAATTTGTGTGGCCTGTTTACCTACATACTGGGACCATTATAATGAATAATAAACCAAAAAAAAAAAAAAAATATCTGGGGCCATTTGGATGTGCGTGTGCTTTGCTGTGAGGCCAAATTACTTCATAGTCGGTTTGTATGCATGATAGATATTTTTTTTTTTCTTTTTTTTTTTTTTTGTAACATAAGGAGGTTATAGGCCTAGGTGCTAGACTAGAACTCGCCGGGGATAAGAGAACTCGTCCAAACTAGGTGGAGGATTAGATAACATATGAAATCCAATCGGATAGAAGACGCTAGGCTCGTCAAATGATCAGCTGCAAAGTTTGCGGTTATTGCTAAATTATATGACTTGGCATTTTAACCTGTAGTTTACCATTTTTTTTTTTTTTAACAGAAGGAGGCTATAGGCCTAGGTGCTAGACTAGAACTCGCCGGGGATAAGAGAACTCGTCCAAACTAGGTGGAGGATTAGATAACAGATGAAATCCAATCGGAGAAGAAGACGCTAGGCTCGTCAAATGATCAGCTGCAAAGTTTGCGGTTATTGCTAAATTATATGACTTGGCATTTTAACCGGTAGTTTACCATTCAATTTGTGGCTTGTGTCCGTACATATATACTGGGCCCATTATGATGAACTAGTACGTATCCCGTGTGATGCACGGAACATAGATATTAAATGAGTTATTTTAACAACCTTGTCCGTTTAAATCTTAAAAGTAATAGAGTTATTATCTATTTTCTACCTCTTTTAATCAACGTTAAGTCTAAAAAACAATAAGGTTATAAGCTTTTTTTTTCATATCTTTTAACCAGCATTGTTTTTTAGCCAGAACATTAAATATGAGTATGTTAGGGCTAGCTTGTAAAATAATTAATATATTATCTCACTAAAATATTTATACTAATAAAACTTTAATTTCAGTATATAAATTTATTCCTTGATATAAGAAAAAAGTAACAGCTTTATTTATTCTTGTTCATCATAAAATATTTAATTATTATTTTATTATATAATAAAAAAAATAGTGTTAAATAGTTTTTTTTTTAACACAAAGATAATATTAAAAAATATAAATATCCATACAAATACACGAACCAAGTTTTTTTAATAGTTTTTTATAAGTTTTATAAAAATATATTATAATTTGTTAGTGTATTATTCAAAATCGTAATATTGATTTGTAGTTTTTAGAAACAAAATTTTGATTGTTTTTGCTCACTCCATTTTATGGGATCTTTTATGTCAAGATAAGAAGGATTAAAAACAATATGTAAAATAGGAAACTTGATTAAAATTAAAAATGCATTAATTACTACTTGATAAAATTAGAAGTTTATTAATTAGGTTGACTTTTCTACCTACTATATTTAGTAAATAGGTTTCCCTTTAATATAAGTATAGATATATAAAAAAAAAAAAAAAAAAAATCTGGGGCATTTGACCCTTAGCATGACGGATGCACTTCCCCGCCCGCCCGCGAGTTCCTTGGCTCTGTTGGGCTCTGCTGGGGATGCCTGGTCGTGCCCGCTCGTCGACATGTCGACTGCCCTGCGTGGTCTTGCGCCCCTTCACACGGTCATATAGGGCCTTTCCACCAATCCCGCGTCCCTTAACTCGGCAGGAGGCTGCTGCATTCGTTTCTCCATCACCCTCCTGGCACGCAGGGCCAGCCCTGAGGTAGGGCGGGCCGGGCTGCCCAGGGCCTCTTACCCTTGGTCACACTTTTACATATTTTTTAATATATGTATATATATTAATTATATAATAGAATATTGAATACAAAATAAATTTAAAATCTTAAATTTTTTATTCTCTAACACAAGGTTTTCCATATTTTATCCACCTTATAAATTTCATGAAAAAAAAAATAAATAGTAGTTATTATTAGTGAAAATAGTACGTACCCCGTGCGATGCACGACATATATATATGTATATATATATATTAAATGAGTTAGTTTCACATATTTGTCCGTTTTTCCACATATTTTAATCGGCGTTGTTCTTTTGGTCAGAACATCAAATATGAGCATATTAGGGCTACCTTGTAAAATAATTAATATATTATCTCACTATTATACTAATATAAATTTGATTTTAGTATATATATGTATTTATTCCTTGATATAAGAATAAAATAACGATTTTACATTTCTTGTTCACCATATGATAACTAATTATTATTTTATTATAAACTTTGTTGTCGTATAATATCATTATTATATATATAAGTTATAGAAGTTGTACGTCTTCTTTTTATTTTTATTTTATGTAATGAAAATTATTTACTTCACGTCAGTATTTTATATTTATGTAATCAATTTGAAATATGTAAATAAATTTAAAATTAAATAGTGTATGAATATTTTACAAAATATACACACATTTTTTTTAAAAAAAAAATTAATTTTGTATACTGACTAAATATATAACTTTGATTTAGCAAATGTGAAAAACTTAATTCCTTTTATAATCAGAATTTGTTTTTAATTTACATTATAAAAATTTATAGTTTACTTAACATGCAATGAAAATATATTTTACAAGAATTTTATTATAAAAAGAAATAAAAAAAATTAGACTATCTAAGTTTGAGCATATTAGGACACTTCTACACGTGATAACTAAAAATAAAAATTAAAAAGTAATAGTAATATAGATCCATATAACTGGCAACAATAAAAAAAAAAAAAAATCTATCCGATTATATCATTAAATGTTTATGTGGCGATGCGTTCGCGTTAACACAGCAAAGGTTCCCCACCCAAGAGTGAAAGTTTTATTGACTTTTTTATTTTATTGACTTTCTTAATCCAAAACACGTCATTTCATCCTTAGCCATCCACGTGTCTGCTAATCAAATCATCTCGCGCGAAATGGTAACCTACTCGCGAGTCACGATACGATATATTACCTATTTTTTTTTCCCTATTCTGTTCCACTTTATTGGGGCCATTCAGCAATTTTATGAAATTTTCGTAGTCAGATCGAAAAATTTATCTTTTATTCATTTATTTTATCTTTAGGGTTAGCTATAAATAGCCCTCCCTCGAGTTGAGAGAGCTTCACTGTCGAGCCATTTCTCAGACGCCTTTGCGTTTTATTATGTTCCCTAATTTAATAAAATAATTAATTAATTAATTATCTGAATAAAAATTTCAAGCTTCACGGCAATGGCGTTCAACAAAATGCTGCCCCAGCGCCTTTTTCGCATTTCCAAGTTCACGAACGCCGCCGTCACCAACTGCCGCATCGTCTCGCCGTTCGCCGCCGCGCAGGCCGGAGCGACGAGCAGCCTTGCCCCAGATCCAGGCGACGACGGGGTTTTCCAACGATTTCTCCACAACAAATCGCCGGCGCCGGCGGCGTCGTCCTCCGATCTTCGGTTCCTCCCGACCGGGGAGACGCTTTTGGAGAAGCTCCGGGGGATGGACATTGCGAGGCAGAGGATCCGGCTGGACGCCCTCATGCCGCCGCCCGCGGCGGAGGAGGAGGAGAAGGAGTCTCCGCCGGAGGGTACGATCACGGTGAAGGACGCCGTGAAGATCCTGAGGCTCTCTCAGCTTGAGGCGGTGAAATCTAGGCTGAGGCAGATCGAGAGGAACTGTATCCCTTATTCTGAATTTGTGCAAATTTGTGCTAGGGATTGCTCGAGCGTTGATCAAGGGCTGGAATTCGCTAAGATGCTCGATCAATCGGGGAGCGTGATTGTTCTAGGGAACACGGTGTTCCTCAGGCCTGAACAGGTCGGTCCATTTTCTTCAATTCTTTTGGGCTAATACTTCAAATTTTCCTCTGGATTTCTGTGACCTTAGATTGGGCCAAGTTGTTATTGCTCTTTGTTGTGAAAGGAATAGAATCTACAAGCAAAAAATTAAGGATGATGCTACGGTCCCATTACGGTATCATTCCGTCCGGATTTGTAACCGGTATATCAACTATCTCTAGTGGTTACAAATCCGAAGTAATGGTTCCGTAACGAACCTTAGCATTTCCCCAGAACTAATCGTGTCAAAGAAAAAGGGATTTTCTGTAATTAATTAAGTATACACTTGGTTGTTCATGCATATTCCCTTGTTTTATGCATTGAGAAAAAAATATTGTTTAATTAAGGTAGATGTAGGGAAGGGATGGACACCTGAACATAGAAAATATAGAAAAATGGACTATAGAAAGTCTGGGATTGTGACTTGTGAGTTGTGAGTGGTTTGAGTTTTAGCATAATCATATTTGGTGTGAACAAAATACAGGGCTTGTCATATTTGACCAATTTACTACTTTCTTTAATATCTGCTCAGTGAAGAAGAATAATATAATATAAATAAAAAAGAAGAGAAGAAAATAAAGGTGGCCATATTTACTAAAGGTTGTGTGCACTTTTTGTCTTTGGATACAGTTGGTGAAAGCCGTACGAGGACTAATCCCTGTTCCTGCACCAGCCCCCACCATAGATGACTCGAGAATGCAAGAAATCCGTGAATTGGAGAAGAAGAAATCCGAAATCGACAGCAAGGCGAAATCGCTGGTCCAGCGTGAGCTATGGTGTGGGCTCGGCTTCCTGATTGTCCAAACTGCAACTTTCATGAGGCTGACCTTTTGGGAACTATCGTGGGACGTGATGGAGCCCATTTGCTTTTGCGCGACTTCGCTTTATTTCACGGGTGGATATGCTTTCTTTGTGAGGACAGCAAAGGAACCCAGTTTCGAGGGGTTTTTTCAGAGTAGGTTTGCGGCCAAGCAGAAGAAGTTGATGAAGGCTGAGAAATTTGATATCGAGAGGTATAACAAGCTTAAGAAAGCTTGTTATCCGTACTCGTCGGATGAGGAAACGGGCAACAAAAATGTCATGTTAACTTCATCTTATCGTTCTTCTTCTCCAGCTGTGCACTAATGAAAGTTTTGTATTGTGATTTGATCATGTTTCAATAAGAAAAGAGTGATATTGTTGTTGTTTAACATCATGTGTCTGAAATGGATGCCAGATGTTCTTAATGCTTTGTGTAGATACTAAAATACCCTTACTTAAAATAAACTTACAATGACTTTATATAGAAGGTCTTCTAAGTATTTCATTCTTACAGTTTTTCTATAAAATCAGACGGTTGGTTTCCTTATGGAACCAACCACCAATGGGACAGCTCCACATGGGGCTGTCCCACATAAAAGTCATGTGGGACAACCCCATGTGGAGCTGTCCCATTGGTGGTTGGTTCCATAAGGAAACCAACCATCTGGTTCCTTAGCAAAATTGTTCATTCTTAACCTTGACCCTAGATATAATTACATATCTCAATTAAATCACCAAGTATTTCTAAATTGCATATGAATTTATCAGACATTCAAACGTAAAAACATGTTCCATCTCATTTTTCTTTTTATGAGCGGTTTTTGTTGCGATTCTTTTGTTTTATGAACTCTAATTTATCTTCTCCTCATATATAATGAAGAAATCTCCTTCAAACGATGATGAATTGTAATTAAAAAAAAACGACACTTAAAATAACAATATCAAATTCGTAATGTTTGAAAGAAAGTTTTTTGTTTGTTCAGTCATACTTGTTCTTAATGCTTCGTGTAAATACTAAAATGCCCTTATTTAAAAAAAAAAAAAAAAA